ATAGAATGGTCCTTCTTCTTAGCACTTGATCTTTGCACAATTTCTTGATATATTTTTAATGGCTATCCAAGTTTATTAAGTTAGTATATGTATATCTCGATTTTCTATAAAGAGGAGGAAAACCTGGATTGTAACCATATGGTATTGTTTTTTGCAATATATTTATTTTTAGTCAATCTCGTATGGGGTGCACTTTTAGATGAATGATGTTTCCAAATATTTTGAATTATAATCCATTAATGAAAGACTAGGATTTTGTTGAGCACATATCAAATGTGTATTGAGATAATTTGATATAAAAAGTATTCTCAATTATGTTTCACCAAATCTCAAGAAAAAAAAGTGTATAAGTATTATTCTTAGGCAATTTAAGGATAAATAACCTTTCTAAACATAAGAGTCTTGATTAATTAGCTGTCAGTAAAGTAGCCTAATTATTATGTAGTTTATTAACTAATTACTTACATTTTGTGAAATCCTAATTATATACTTATAATGTGCCCAAAGGTATTTCTCTAGTCATGAAAGAGTTGTTATATTGTCCAAAGGTATATAATCACTCCATAGAATGTATACAAGTGAATAATTGCTAGTCTTTTGTTGTCAAAATGAATGCAATATTTTTATTTTGGTATAATAAGTGAACAATTGTTCCTCACTTTATTGAGTGAATTGCTAGTATATCATAATTTGATCCAAAGGTATAAGAAGATGATGTAATAGATTACTCATTTTATAGTTCAATCATTTAGTAAATCTATCCAAACCAGTTCGTTTGCTAGACATTAGAGGGGGAGAAAATGATACAGAAGTATCTAGAAGAGGGGCTTTTGTGAAGAAATAAAACTTTATGGTGAAAAATAGAATATTCAAAAAGTTAAGTGGCTAGTGTTTAAGTTGGTAAATTTTAGCAATCAATTCATTATTCATCTTTACCAAATCACTTCTTCTTCTTCTCATTTCCTCCTTTCTCCACCAAAAACTCTCTCTTATCTCTCCTATTTTTTTCTCGTATTCTAGGAGGATTTGGCAAATCAAGATCAAACAGCAAATGGTCAGTTAGGAGATTCTACTTTGTCAACTGCCCAAGGCAATTTCTTGTAATTTTGAACTTAAGTTTGGTTCTTTTTTATTACAGTGACAAAGTAATATTTAGCTCAAATCCTTAGTTTAGATTTCTTGATTGTGGTGCTTAGAGTTGGTTTTTGTCTCTACTTGTGTGTGGGTTTAGTGTTTGTCTCGAAATGAAGATAGATAATCTTGATAGCAATCATTTGATTTGGATTTAATACCTTGGTTGCGAGTTTGTTTATGTAATACTATTATTGGAGGAGATGAAAATAATGGTTTCTAATGCCTATGGAGGGTTGGAGATCATTTAAGGTGGAATTGGAACTTGAGACCCAAACTTGAAAATTGATTCTATCTTGGATTTGCTCCTACATCCGTTGCTAGATCTCTCGCAATTGCTAGGCCAAATCCGATTCACAGTACTATCACACTTCAAATTTTTGGTCGTATCTTGATGTAGAAAATCCATATTTCGGTACTGTTTATTGCATTGCAAACTAGATTTAGAAAGTTTTATGTCTATATAATGCGTTACCTAGTTCTATACTTATAGAAGTTGGTGGCCATTTAAATTTATGTTTCACTTTAGTGTGAAAATGATTGGTTACGGGTAGGGTTAGGGCCCTTTCATGATAAGTTAATATGGTTTGTTATCTTTAGTGTTGTTATGGAGTATTTTATTGGTATGTCAAGGTGAGGAATGTGACCTTTACTTGGATTACTTGAATTAGCTCATGACTATACTTTTGGATCGAGGTACATGTACTTTTTATCTTTTAAAATATGGTTGTTGAACTCATAAAGCTATGAAAACTATATATATATTTTTTAAAGTGGCTTAAGTATGTGTTATAATATTTCCTTTGCTATTGATTTACATTACTGTTGATGGAAATTGTGACATGACATTTGTTTGAGTTCATGGATTTTGAACCCTTTGACAGAACAAGTTCAAACTGTGCCAAACGAGAGTAATTAGTAACCATCATGATATCCATTAAACTGTGCCAACCGGAAGTAGTTGGTAACTGTGGCATTTATTAAACTGTCAGCCAGGAATACTTAGTGACATTAGTTTCTATTGAACCGTGTCAACCATGATTAGTTGGTAACTCTAATATCTACCAAATCGTGCCAATTATGAATAGTTGGTAACTCTTTGGGAACCTATTAACTGGTCAAGTTTAAAACTGGATATTCAGCGATATTGGGTAACTTGTGCTTTGAGTTTCAACGTGAAAAGAATTATGTGTATTACCTTTGATCTATTATGCATGAACTGTATTATATATATTAACACGCTCAAATCAATAAAAAAAAATACATTTACTATTTATTGAACAAGTTGTCGCTCACCCCACTTATTATCATTGAGACTCTAGTTTCATACGCCTACGTTCATTATAGATTTATATGTTGTTTCAGGATGGATCCTTGGAATTTAAATTTATATTTTCTTTTGGTTGTGAAGAATAAATATTGACTCTTCTTGAGGATTTATCGTTCATATTTGGTGGACTTTAAAGTAACGCGACTTTATTGCTTTGTGCCTTGTCTATTAGCCACAGGATACGGCAGTATTACGTCTCAAGTACGGAGTGCAATACTGAAAACTGTCAATAATTCTTTTTTATTTAATGCATCTTGATTCATAAAACAAACGAGTGAATCAACAAAACCGAAAGTGAGTAGCCATTCGAGACTTATACGGCATCTTTTTAAAATAATTCAATAACAAACTGAAACAACCATTATGGGTTTCATAACCATTTATATGGCTAAAATATACCATTGCACAATACTGAGACAAATAATGCCAAGAGCCTCAAAGTGAACAATTAGACAATATAAAGGCTTGGCAATCCAGTGAATCAACCACGTAAATTCCTTTTACGACATTTGATTATAATTAGTGAAGTAATACAGAAGCAGCCTACTATTAAGGACTTGAAATTAGCATGCGCCGGAACTGCAAGTATAATTGGCCAAACTCGGACATATAGTTCTGGGAGTTTTTTTTTTTTTTTTCATTATTAGTTCACAAGTAAATATCCAAATTCTCTAATACCAACGGGAGGTGCAAGTTCGATTCATGCATGTGGTGCCTTAAAAAACTCTGAGCCAGACCTTCACTCTTGAGTAAGAGTCGGACTCTGTGAACACTTCCTAAATTGAATCTAAGTAAATTTCACTAATGGCGGAGATACCGGGTGCTCAAAGCCGAAAAAAAATATCCAAATTCTAATAGCCCCAGTTTGCGCAATGTTAGGGCCAAAGAAAAAAGAATAGGTCCTCAAGCCCATGACTGAGTCAGCATGAAAGGCATAAACAAACAACTAGATTTATGGTAGGTGGTTTTCTCTATAGGTTTGTCAAGGATAATGTAAGCTCAATCAAGAATTACTAACATAATTGATTTACAAATAATAAACTTTAATCTTTACTCGGATACCACATGTTAAACATAAAGGGTAGGATTCTTGGTTTAAACTTGTAAATTATAGGTAATAAAATTAGGGGGTATCTTTAATCTAGTAACATCAAGTACTCAATTGTTAGTCCATCCAAAATATTCGATGACCATCTCAACACAATGAATTAAAAAATACTCCAATACAGGATCAATTGGTATTATTTAACAGATGTTAGTTAACAAATGCTCCAAGACACGATCAATTAGTGTTACTGGATCTTTCCTCTCCGTCTTTCTATTATATTTGGGTAAGTGACAGGTAAACTAGCAAATGAGTTAGGATAGAGAGAGGGACCACAAGCCTTTGTATATAAAAATTAGGACAGCTTTTCATCATAGAACTAGAGTTGCAGATAGACTCAACCTATTATTAAATGGTCATAAAAGAGTCTAAATACGTCTGACATAAATCTCCTTATTTCCTTCAATTATCTATTCATTTCAGAATTTTGTAACTAACTATCCATATCTATTTATATAGCTATTTATTTTTCTAATTAATGAGAGATTATCTTAATTATATTGTGTGTGGTCATATGGGCCATATAAATACTCTTAACATTAATTCCAATCTAGCAAAGAGTTTTAAAAAATAGTTATATGAGTTGATCGGAATGTTGCAATTTAATGGTCGCACATGTTTTTTTAGAAGTAGCTGAAAAGAAAATGAATTAATGAATTTTTTTAGGGGCGGTTTTTATCTTATCACTGAATTGAATTTTGTATTATAACTTCTCCAAAATTGTTTGTAGTTTGTTAATCACTCCAGATATATGGTTAACTCTGGGAAATTTCTCATGAATATTAATCATATGTATTTTTTTTGAATTTGTGAATAAATTGGCTTCTGTTTGATTTCCTACTATTAAAATAAACAATTGCCTGTTGAGTTAAATAAATTGACAACATTCAACTTGAATGAAATGTAAAGGTTGTTTTGTGCATTTGGCTCTTTTAAAAAACCAAAAGTAGGTTTTTACTCCTTTTATATAAATTCGAAGGATAGAAACGCATTTAAAAACTTTATAACCATGGAATATCAAACACAGGAAAGATGGTTTTGCAGATATGCACACAAAAGGCCTTTGTTTGCTAGATCAAATTTTTTAGGCAATCTTATTTCTCATTATGAGTTTTCTTTTTTTTTTCCCCTTTTTTTTGTGATGTCTGGTGAAAACCCTGTGTTCTATTTTTGAGGAAATAGAAAAGCAATTCATTGCTTAGCAATATTTAGGCTAATTAGTCCTCCTATACTCACAATGCTGAAAATTAATAAAGAAGGTCAAATGCATATTATAATTCTTCAATTAACAAATTTAGAACACTTTTCATTATATAATTCTTCAATAAAAGGCGAACTCATTTACATTTTATAAAGGGCAACGAGAATTCTTAACTGCCACTGGTTCAAGAAAAAAAATTGTACTAAAAAAAAATCAAACCAATTGAGATTTTACCTCGAACGCCATTAATGACACTACTGACATTCTAACCTGCTCAATTTTGTGTTAATCTCCAGAACATCATTGTTAGAATAATGTACAAAGTTCACACCCATTAACACAGTTTCTCAAACAGTTGATAAGTTCAAAAGGTATAATCTTGAACTAAGCGCATATATACCTCTACATACACAAAATCCCAAGCAGAAGCAACTAGCAATTTTTTACAAGGCATATTAAATACAAAAACACCACCTGGAAAAAGCAAATACATGAAACCAGTACAACAATTTTCAAGATGAAACTAGAAGCAGTTCCATCAGAAAATATAGTCTGGCAGCAGCAATGGGAACCTTGCTACCTGTGCTTCAAAAGGGCTACTACTTGGATCTGCCAATCTGCAGGACACGAGGAAGGAAAAATATAACAAATAAAAAGAGTAATTATTGAGAAGTCAAGCAACATCCAAACATTGAACCATCATAACGGCATCAATCCCCAATGCAACAGCATTTCAGTCTGCTGCGAGTCAAACAAACATCAAAGCCAAAGGAAATATACAGCAAAGTTGAACACATGAAGCCACGGTAACTTCAAAGTTCCACATATTTCATTGAAAGCTGCATGTCCCCTGCCCAACCAGCCAAAAGAAATGAAATAGTTTTTTCTACCAGTCAAGAGACTTGGTTCGATGCAATGACCACATCAAGAGACCTGAAGAAACTATAACAAAATCTGGTCCCAGATAGCTTTTTCAGATACCTGACCAATATAAATTCTTTTTTAGCTTCCATCTTACATACTGATATCATTAACTAAATAAACACTAGACCGTACAAAAGGCGGAAGAAAGGTCTGCCATCCAAATGACAGGTTTAGATACAAAATATCGCCCTACAGAGACTTGTGGAAATAAAAAATCTCATGGAAACACAATAACTATTAGTCTTTCAGTTACTTGGAAATTGCGTAGTTTTGATGCACAAGAATGCATCAATTGGCAAAATTTAACAACTTTCCCTTGCGTAACTTACAGACAGGATCTATCTATTTTGCAACTTCCCATTAACCAGCCCTGAATGTAAAAGGAAAAAAGTTCTGCATTACTAGTAAATTCTACTTCATTCGTTTTTTCTTTTTCCCCTTTTCACCTGAATTTAAAGCAGAACATATGCTGTTAATAAGAATAGCTTCAGAACCATAAATAAGTACATTAAAAATAATTAGGAACCAGATTGATAGAGGTCATTGACCAAATAACAAATAAACTTGAAGCCAGTTAAGCACACCTAAGAGAACAATTCTTCAAAATATGAAAATGTGTAGTTGATAGTCGAGATACATACTTCCCCCAAGTTGCAACAAATGACGCAAAAAGAAAGAGCAACTAGTCTGCTGATGCAGTTAGCACACACCTCAAAAAAACCGAAAATCAAAGAGTTTTAAAAATGCATTCAAGCATTTGCTTTGCACTCCTGGGATGTTAAATAGCCTATTCGGTAAATAGATAGGTGAATTTCAGGGTTTCTTAAGTTGGGAGTCTATACTATGAGATTAAGGTTTTTTCTGAATCTTTTAGTAAATATGGGCATTTCAGCAACTCCAAATTTAGCAGCTTTTAGCAGTCAGACATAAAGTCGAATGAGGAATCGTCTGTGATTTGGAATCAGTGTCAGGACTAAAAAAGGAGTCCAGCTCCTATTGTCAAATTCAAATTGAGGTAAACTTTGGTTCAGAGTCAGTTGTTATTTTACTTCTTCACTGACAGAAGACAGATTTTCTTACCACACTCAAATTCCAACAGACTTGATGTCTTCTTGGGGTTGTGGTACAATGTAGCACTCAGTGTGATGCCTAAAGGTTCCCATCAGTGATTCCTAGAATTCCTTATTCATTCTTGTTCCTAATCTTAAATCTTCCGTGGTTTCTCTTCGCATTTTCTGTTTTGGTTCTTGGTGATCTTAGTTCCTTCACTTCTCTGTCATGTATGTATGAGATGTAAGCCTTACACAAAGTCTATCTACAAATGTTGGCATACCAACTGCTTTGGTGCTGCATCATATGTCGTAGTATCTAATATTATTAATCCTAACAAGAGATATTATTGCTCAATCTGTGTATTTTTGTCAGTGGAATCACATATATACAGAAGTAGAACAAATAGATTAATGAAGTGAAAATCTAAACATTCATACTACCGACAGTCAACTTGGTTTACCTTCCGGGAACAAAGGTGAAACAGCCTTCAATAGAACCTGGCAAACTTGATAAAAATGTGTAGCTCTCATAAATGAATTCTTCCTCTCCTGGACGTAGAAGCGGAAACTGTAGGAAAGAAGCATAAACAATAAATCTCAGAGCAAACCTTTCACCTGCATTTGCCTGGTTAAACCACCAACTTAACTGTGCCCAACATGATGGGAGTAAAAACTAAGCATAAACGTTAAAACCTTTTCCATCACTGGGAAAAGTCAAAACTAAAGGCTTGTTCTCAAATGCTTCAGATGTTCAAAAGCAGAATCAGAAGCCAAAAGCACCTCTCATACTGCTGCTGATTTTCAGCTTTTTTACCCTTAAAAATGATGAAAGAATTTGAAAACCAATTCAGAACAGAATAAATTAGCTTTTCTAAAATCAGGTGTCTAGAATCATTGATAACAGCAAGTAACAACTGGTGAATATCATGAGAACCAGGAAGAATAAAATTTTCACCTTTCCAATAACAGCTTCACCATTTACATTGTCTACGACAGCATCACCAATACGGATGACCCAGTGTCTCCAATAGAGTTGGCAAGAGCCAAAGTTCATACCACTGATGATGCATCCCTCAGGTGAAAGAGACATATGGACAGAATAAGCAAACAAATATTTTTCATCTTCATCCTCAAGGTTACTGCCCTCGGGCACAAATACAGCAGAAGCTCGAACCTTAAGAAAACATCAGAATTTTCAGCTATACGGAGCAAAGCTACCAGCAAAAATAGCAGTCAAAGAAATAACACCAGATTTAGAGAAAAAACTAGGGATATCTCAAGACATACATCAGTTTATACAATCTTTATGACAAGAGCTGAACCCCCAATAGATGGGGAAATAAAATACCTTTACACCATTTGTTATAGCAGTGCAACAAAGAGGAGGTAATTCTGGAAAAAGGTTGATGCCTCTGAGTTCACCATCTTGATGTACTTTAATAATGCCACTTTCCAAGCGTCGGCAATGTTCTTCCAGCCACAATAAAAGAGCATCTTGCACCTGACTACCGTCTCTGTCATTTAGTAAACTTATCAATGATCCTGGTACACAAGGAATCATTTCCCCATCTGTTAAGAGATTCCGTGTACCCACATGAAGTTGGCCACTTCGACAGTTTAGGAAGAAAGTCTTCTCCCCGTAAGTGCAAGAAGCTGCAACAACAATATATTTGGGTCTGCTGTTTAATAATCCAAGCTGTTGTATATAATCCTTTGTTTCCTCAACTATCTGTTCTAATGGCAACAGAAACACATTGACCTGGTGGTCATAAAATGAGTAGCCTCCAATAAGACCCAACAAACTCTGAGGCACACGACCAGTTAAATTATCAGCTTTTAAGTCTTGGCCATCACAGAAACGATAAAGAACCCTGGTAGGAAGAGGCAGTTTTACTTTCAAACTCATCTCCAAAGCATTTATTTCCTCCTCTGATGCACCTCTACGTAAGGTAGCCAATATTTCTGGGAAATTTGCAGCAAACCAGTTTTTAAGTCTGTCCCAACATCTTTTAACCCGCATCACCAGGGGCCATGGATACATATGAAAAGCATCACGCCATGTTCCATAAGATTCCTGTGGATAAAATAAAGTGTAAACATATAGCTCTAGCCTACATAAGAAAAGATTACATTGGTCATAAATAACACCAACAGAATCCCCATAACTTTCAGACAGCCTACATGGCATATGAGATGCTTACTTCAAGTCAAATAACAAGTGCTATAGTTTCTACTCATGCCAATAAATCAACTTGACAAATTAAAATTTTTAGTTCTGAAGGGAACAATTCCTGGAGTACTCAAGATACCTTATCATGCATGCAAATGAAAGTGACACACAAAAAGAGGAGAGAGAGAGAGAGAGAGTATACAGAATGAGTTCTCCTATTAAAAAAAAAGCTAATGAGAGAGTAATCATCTCATTTGAAGCCCAAAGGCACATGCATAAGCAAGTATAAGGTCTTCAAAAGGAATCAAGAGAAACTAATTTTCTATTTCTTTTAGAAAAGTGCATAACTTCTTGTTATTTTGACAGTGGTACAACACTGGCCTTATTGGTAGCCAAAGAAGTATGGTGAAATGACATCTTTAAGTTCTCTCTTCCTTCTTCTTTAAAAGAAACTAAATAGTTGCAATCATTCCAAAAGAACTGACTATCAATTTAAAATGCTATAACATTACTCACATGAAACAAAGACAGATTGATTGGCTTAGCGTGCAATGTCACAAGCATATCTTCAAGTGTAAGCGGTGAGATGACTTCATGAATGTGCCAACCTTATTTTCAGTTAATCCAAATCAATGGGGTAGAAAATTCGCCTTCTTCAATTTACGTAGATAATTGCTACATTTTCTCCATCTTTTTGCAGATTAAACATTCCTAGTTTTTCCTACCTCTTTTGAAGTGATTAAACAGTTGCAATCATCCCACGTATAACTGACAACAAATTTTTAACGCTTTCACACTAGTCCCATGAAACAGAGATAGTTTAATTCGCTTATTGTGCAACTTATAAATGGTGAGATGAGCTCATGGTCTGCCAACTTTCTTCAGCTAATGCAAAGCAATAAGATAGAAAGCACCTCTTCTTCATGTCACATAAATAATTGCTGCATTTTCTCCTTTTTTTGTGCAGATTAAACATTCCTAATAAAGATCTACACGGTATGTCATCATAAAAAATCTGGACAGGGTGTTTGCTAGGGTAGAATTCCATCACCTTGCTTATCCAGAAACATCCCTCAAAGAAACTATGACTAAAACAATGGAAAACAAACAAAACATAAACAAATAAAGCTCCAAAAATTAAATACCAATCTGGGAGCTAAACGAATACAAAACAGACAAAAATTTTTCTAGATACATATATGGATGATAATTTTCAGTTCCAAAACCGTGAAATGAAGCTCCAACCAATTTCGTCCATGGCTCATGGACAATTACCACAACTCCTCTAAACCCCCTTAAGAAAGTAAAATAACCCAGATGGAACAAACCAAGTGAACTCACACATGATTAGATCTGCTTCTAAAGAAAAGCTTCCATAACCATGGCTGCCATACAATTAACACTAACAAATTCTTACAAGTTAGAAGGCCATAGGAATCTCTTATTAATACCTTGAACTCTATATACACAACTAAACACAATTACACAGATACCAACATAAAAACCAACTTTGGTCTTATGCTAACACAAAATAGTGTGCATTTTACACAAGAGCCAATACATATGACATTTATAAACAGAAGAATTGTTATCAGCACTCTCATGTTTGTTAATTTCAATTGTCTTGATTTTAGACATGTAAAAATATAAAAATAGCCCCTTAATTACAATTTAACAACAAGGAAGTTCCCATGAATACAAAAAAAATGGGGATAGTTTTTGTCCAATTAGAGGAGTTTTATTGACAGACATGGGAGTTCCAATAATATTCTCAATTAAAACAAACAGCTAAAAATTTTCCCTTTTCACTAATTTTCTTCACCAAAATCAACCCAATTTCCAACCTATATATATGTGTATATATATATATATATATTTCCACATCATTACATAAATTTTCATACATTCGCATATATAAAATTGCATAAAAGCTGAATTTTTTTGCACTTTTCATTAAGTTTTTCCTTCATCAAAATTCAACCCAATTTTCCACCAAAATTTTTTTTTTTCTCATCATTAACTAATTTTCACACTTTCGCAAGATTCATACAAGCTGAAAATTTTACCCTTTTCACTAATTTTTCCTTCATCAAAATTCAACACAATTTCCACAAAGGAAAAAAACACACACGCACACAAGTTCTCCTTACTAAATTTTCACATATTCGCATACAGAAAAATGCATAAAAGCTGAAAATTTGCCCTTGTCACTAATTTTTCCTTCATCAACATTCAATTCACATCCCCACGGAAAAAAAAAATTTCCACATCATTACCTAAATCTTCACAAATTCACATACGCATAATAGCCGAAATTTTTGCCCTTTTCACTAATTTTTTCTTCATCAAAATTCAACCCAATTTCCAACAAAAACACTAAATCTCCAAATGATTACATAGATCCAAAAAATGCATAAGATGAACAAAAAATTGGACCTTGAAGGTAGCAGTGGGGTTGCCGACGGGGTCAAGTGGCGAATTGAGCTGAAAGTCATCGGAACAAAATTTGGACCAAAGGGAATCGTCGTCGGAAGCCCATGTCCGAAACCGTCGGCTCACGCACGCCACTAATGCGGCGTCGTTTGGTGCCAGTTTGGAGAGGATTACGTGCATCGCTAATCCCCCAACGCTTTCCAACGCCGCCATTTTATTTTTGCTCCTTTTCCTTCTTCCAGATAAGTTATACTAATCCAATTCAATGAGGAGAATTTGCATTTCTCTTCTCTGTGAAATGAATTATGACTCGGTGAACTACTTCCGGTGAACTCGGAAGTAGACGAGTGTCACTAGTGAGTCGAGTGACTAGTGAATTTGAGGGGCAGGCATCCAAACTTACAGAAACAAGCTTTGGCTTGGACCGACTGCTTGAGCTACTCCGCCTGGATTAGTCCTTTTTTAGATATTTTTAAAAAATTTTACTGTAATAAAAATTTTAAAATATTTTTAAAAAAATTTAGGCTACTTTTTAAAATATCTTTTAAAGTATTTTTTAAAAATTTTTATACTATTTAAAAAATTAAAGGGATCCAAACTAATGTCAGTAGATATTTTCTCTACAATCGAGAATTAGTTTTGATCCCTAATGTATCACTTGGGTGGAACAAATTCCCTATCTATTTAATAAAGCAAATGTAATCCCCAAGTTATACAATTTTATACAAAATTGGACAATTAACCAATTTCTTCCAACTTTTAATAACATAATGGCACGTGCAGTCACGTGTCAGCACTTAAAAGCAATTTTTTTAAACTAAAAAAAAAAACTCTTTAAAAAGTCAATTATTGTAAATTAGACGAAAACTAGGGGGTTTACAATCTTGGAAACCTACTATTCTACTTCAAACGAATCAAAGAATTGCTATTGTGCTGTTTCCATTCACCAATAGCCTATCGGAAACTAGAGACCATCGACTCTAGCAAACATTAGACAGTCAAGAGTTGCCTCTTGTCGCGTCCCATTTTTATAAGAAAAATAAATAAATGATTTAAAAAGTAAATTTTTGATTTGATTTGAAAAATGAAGTTTTGACCTAAAAGAAAATGAGTAAAGAAAATGAAATGGGCCTAAATGGGACTTTGAAATGCGACGATTTTGACCCAAAATGAGTTAAAAAAGGGTTTTTGAAATAAAATCGGAGTCGCCACTTGGTATTGAGTTAAAGTGTACTAAGTCACCTAAAAATGAATTTGTTTAAAGGAAAAAAAGGTAAAAAGAAACCCCTTTTAAACGACTCCTAGTCTACGTAAACCAACGAAAAAGGTTCGGGAGTCACATTTGACGAAGGGGAAGGCAAGGACAAAAATCCAAGGCACCCCTTCGACCTAACCAAGGCTAGTTGCGTGATTTAGTCAAAGATTTTCTTGTTTTAACCAAAGAATTTATCACATCTGGATGTACTATATGAATGCAACCCTAAACCTAGGAGGATATCGGGGGGTCAAAATTTCTCTTCAAAGCTTGAATGGTGCCAATCACATTAATTGTGATGCCCAATGCGGATTCTTTGGAGAGGTCACGAATAATGCAGAAAATATGAGACTCTAAGAAAAGAAATAAAAAAATAATCATAGAAATATACATGTCTTAAAGGAGTGCATCATGTCGGGTACGGGGGACTAATGTTCGTGACTCAATTTTCCCTTTTAATAGAGAGAATACGAGCGTGCTAAGGCTAGAAAAGCCAAACTCGTCCATATCCCATATTCAAGGGGTTATTCCCTAATCTAATCAAGCAAATGAACTAACCTAGTTCTAATGCTTATATGAAATGCAAGTCTAATGTCATATTTCCATACAAAGGGGTATATATATAAGGGAAATTAGGGATGATGGATATACGTATAAGGGAAATATCATATAAAATGACAAAAGATCCTAGAAAGTGAAAAATATGCATGAAATGAAGTGATTTTATCATACAATCATGATCTAACGCGGGAGGTCCCTAAGGGTCTAGCGTTGGACTAGCCCACATCTAACGCTCTCTCACAAGCATTGGACTTGCAAAAACTCGAGGGGAAAACCATGACTAGCGTTGGACTAGCCACGGTTTCGTGCATTTGCATCCATCATACATACATAAGTAAATGTGCATAATTAAAGCGAGTAGGCATGTGAGCACGTAATTCACATAACACATAAGCATGCATATCTAGATGCCAAAACCTAAGAAAGCGATTAAACACATAGCACCTAAGCATGCAAAACACATAAGGTAATTAAGGCCCTAACTATTACATTTTTAGAGGGGGGGCCTACTACAATCTAAAAGGGGAAATAAAATAAATAATAAAAATAAATACCTAGCTATTATAAATTTGGCATTCAAGTGCCTTTCAAATGATCAAAATTGAACTAAAATAAATATACGAAATGAAAACGAATAAAGCGAATAAATAAATAAAATGAAAACATTCAAAAGGGCATGCAATTTAACACATGAAGTCACATAAGGCACATAAGGTCAAATAAAGTCAAGAATAAGAGATAGAGTGTACCTCCCTTGAGTTGATGCCCTAATGGGGTGAAATTACTTATTTACCCTCCAAAACAATAAAATTGTCAAGGCACCACTTTAATTAATGAATAACCACATGAAATGGAAATGAACACGAAATTGAATCACTCAAAACATTCCAAGGAAAGTAAACCACTCATATTTAACCAATTAAGACAAACAAGGATCCAATTGAAACAATTAAAGAAGTTAAAGGGGCCAATTTGATTATTTTTCCAATTTTCTGGGCCATATCGGCATTAGTTAGAAGCTTAGGGGTTAGAGTGACATTTTCAAAAAAATATTCTCATGCATGCATCACAAGTCTCAGCCAAGTGAAGTCTTCTTTGCTTATGCGAGCTTCATGCTACGAATTCACAATTTGTGAACAGCCCGGAAAGATGGAAACCATTATAGACACAAGATTATAGGTGCAAACGGCATGACAACAACCAATTTGTGGGCTGTTAAGGGAAGCAAAAACATGAAATTAATGCAGCTTTCATGCAAAATAAAGTGAGAAAAGCTTTTGCAATAGAAGAGAAGTCTGCTGCATTATCGCTTACAAACTTGCTGCAATTTTCTGCTATAACATGTAGACTCTCAGCAAACAAAAATTCACATAACAGCTTTGAAACAAATCCAATTAAAACCATTGCTCTACACCTCTTAACAAAACATGAACACTTGAAACTAACCAAATGGACCCCAAATAAATATTTCAGCTCCTCGAAGCATCGACTTGAACAAGCAAAAGAATGCCAAATATGTGGTCCATTCTCCCTCCCCGTCTCAAACAATCAGCTTTTCTTTATTCCTTGGTTTTTAGTGTAAGTGTGCAAGTTTCACATAACTAAAATTTGATTTAGACATCAAACCTTGATCACATAATTTCAATCATCCAGGCGTGCAAAATTTTGGCAAGAACTTTCAATAATTTTCTGGGTTTTTTATCAAACGTATAACTGTGCAAACCAAATCCCAGTCAAAACTCGCAACTTGCTTCATCTAACACTAAAACCCGACATCCAAACAAACAACAAGAACAGGAAGAGCAGCGACCAACGAAACATTAGAACAGATTTGCCCGAAACCTTTTCCAATTTTTTGAAATTTCTCTATGCATGAAGATCGGCCTTGACTGTCAAATAAAACTTACGGATTCATCGTATACCCCCATAGACAAACCCCAAACTGCTCTTCCTAGACCCAAGTCAGCCCAATGAATTCCTCAACCGTAAATCGCAAGAGCAAAATTAGCAAGAAAAACCAAAACTTAATCACGAGTTTTTGGACTGTTGAGAATGCAACAGAGGGAGTCGGCTGATGAGCAACAAAGAAACAGACATAACAACCCTCTGTAAACTATTAGGAAGCCTAGAAAAAGAAATAAAAGTTCCATCCGAAGCTCATGTATTAATCCAAAGAAATTTCATGGAGGATATCAAACTGGCTAAGACGGAGAATTATCATTACCTCTGGAAGGTTGACTCAGCATGAGAAGGCGTGAAACGTTGTCTGAAACTGTTGGAAGATGAAGTAAGAACTCTCCTTGGCTGACCCTCGAGTAGAATGACAGCAGCAGATTTGGATTCCGAATCAAAGGTATTGCAGCCGTCTTTCCCGAAAACCTTAATACTACCGTTGTTCAGCCATGGATCCTCGACCTCGCCTTTTCTTTTCCTTTCTTGACCCGAATCTCCCCTCTTTTTCTTTCAGCTATCTCCCCTTTTCTCCGTCAAACCCCAGCTCTTTCTATCTCTCTCGCTCTTTCTCTTTTTTGCTTTTCTAAAACCTAGCCGTCACCCTAGATTCCTCTCCCTTCAGATTTTTCAGCCGTCAGTCCTCCCTTTTGCTTCTGTCCGCTGCTTTTCCTTCTAAGCTCAGCCACCCACAGATTCTTTCTACCTCTCTAGCCGCCGCCCACTTCTCTGATTTTCTTTTTCCTAGCCGTCCACCCCTCTCTCTGGTTTCTCTTCAGCCATCAAAACCTCCGTTTTTCTTGCCTTTATTCCCTTTTTTCTGATTTTCCTAACTCCTCCTTTCACTCACGAAGCTCCCTTGCCCAAAACCCCCCAGCGGTCCAAACTTTCAGCCTCCCCTCGATGCTCTCTTCTGCCGTTTCTTTCAGATCCTTCTAGCCCTCTCCCCCCCTAACTCTCAGCCGTCATCTCTTCCTTTTATAACAAACAATACACTAAACCCTCCTCTAAAGGGTTCTGATGGAAGCCAAGTCATTAGCCTTGTGGATCATTCGACGGTGAACCAAAACAAGGAGTTGCGGTGCCTGCTTGAAATGTTATGTGAAGAAATGGGCACGGATCCTGTGTAGCTCGGGTGCATGAGCCTGTTTCCTTTTCTTTTTTTCTTTTTTTTTTCTTTTTTTTCTAATTAAATAACAATGAACTTGAATCTAAAGCATTTTTTTTTTTTGTGAATGATTTTCTCTTTTGACAAATTTTATGCTAAAAAGTCTTACAATAATAAAAAAAATAAATAGCTAAAAGGGTGAAAACGAATACAAAATTAAACTAAAATAAAATAATAGATAATAATCTAAAATGCTATACAAATGCTAAAAGTCTAAAATCAAAATCATGAAATTAACAAATAAAAATAGATAAGAATTATCACTAAAAACAAAAAATAAAAATAGGATGAAAATTATTTAAAAATTTGGTGTCTACACCTCTCTGTCTCTCATGCACAAAACACATACTACACATACTGAATCCTAACAAAAATATAGAAAAAAGCAAAAAATGGAAAAAAAAAAAGAACCTTCAAGAATTAAAAACATGCTCTTTTTAGGGATAATTAAAAGGGAGCGGATAACATGATAATTGACCTAAAATGGATAAACTTTTCTCGAGTTCGATTAAAGGGCTTTCATAACTGATTTCGTTAATGCTAGGAGATGTTCACCGTGCTTGCGCACGGTGGTACGATGTAAATATGCCCAGATTGAAGGGAACTACTTCGGTTGAAAGCTTTTTTGGATTCTTAGCATGGTTATAGAAATGTCTAAGAAGCCATGTGTTGTGGGTAATTTTTTCAGCAGGAGAGTTTTTCATTTGTTAAGTATAAGCTGGCAAAGAAAAAGAAGCTGCAGAGAATGGAATAATATATAAGCGAAAGGAATCCTTATAGTAAACGCTTGAAAAAAAGAAACATGATGCAGGGAAGCTGCTATTTTTGATTGATCTAAATTGATTCATTCTTCATGATGGAGTAAACATGGAAACTGTGATACCATGAGAAGTACTTTTCTACACCATATTTGTCAAAGATTAGAACAGTGTAGGTGTAGCTTGATTCAGGAAGGAAAGCTAAAATTTCACCGAGTTCAAGTTGGTGCTCAGCAGCAAAAATGTCCCAGTTATCTATAAACTGCCTTCCATGCATGGTAACAGTTATTGTTTTGTTTCCAGTCCTCAGAGTAACAGAAGGTGTTTTGTCACCAGGTAAGCAGTGAAGCGTAAATCTGGGAATTTTCTGGTGGCACACTCAACATCGTTAACATTGCTGCAGAATAATTAGGGGAAGATGCATTTAAAAGTAAAAAAAAAAAACTTACAAATTTATGTCGAGTGTTCCCTGTAACAATCTGATAGAAACACGCTCCTTCAATTAAGTTATTTGCAAAGTCTAGATTCATTGATGATAGAACTCGCTGTCGTACAATTCTTAGTTTTCCATTTACTGCGAAGAAGATTATATACATATGAGGCAAGCAAGCAGAATCGTCTGAAAAAAAAAATAACGAGTGAAATCAGACAAAAAAGAGCAAGAGTAACTTTCTGATCCAAAGGACGGCTTTAGATGTAGAATATTAGGTAATGGATCTGTCCATGGCATGCGTGCTTGCTGACGGTCCTCTGAGAAATGAATCACATCAAAAACTAAACTTCCAGAATGACGGAGCAAGAAAGAATCACTCTGCCTGAGGATGTTGCTGCCTGAGGATGTTGCACTGGTGCTTAATGAGGATTGCTTGGAACTGAGGAGGAAATATCTAAAATTTGCAGAGAAATTCAAGCATTATGAAAGCTGAGATAAGACGTATTTGCAATAACGACAGCCAATACAGATAGTAAGGATATACCTGGTTAGGCATGTTCAATCTGAAAAGAAGCAGCATGAATGAAATGTGGTATTTCTTGCTGGCGAATCGGATGAGGCAACAGTCTCAGGGGACTGCATTTTTTTAAATTCTTAGCTAAAAGTGAAATGCAATTTGTGCCTCTTTACTCTATGTTGCAGTAGGTGTTTTGCTGTTTGGGTATATATAGGAGAAGCACGTAAGACCGAATAAGTTTGTTGTGATGGTGTCGAGTGAACACTGAGATGAAATTAAGTGATTGAGTTAATACTTGAAGGCGTCCTATTGGTTATAGAGCCAGCATGCTTAAAATTCTTGGGACTCATTAACTATTTAATGACAACAGTTGAACCATTACTGGTCATTGGAAAATGAAACATGTAAAAATCACAACAGGCACACTAATGGTGCTTTCATTTTTTTTGGAGAGGATAGATGAGGTAAGTTGGAGTAAGATTGTGATATAACAAAAATGCAAGGAGAGTTTTGCTAATTGTGAAGTAACAGAAGTATTGAGTTATGCTGGAAATATAGACGAAGGCAAGTGCTGCATTGAACAGCAGATCAATCGAAACTATACTTGTAGAAGCGGCACAACAGAAGACATTGCGAAGGAGCTAACAATTGAAGTATTCAATATTGCAAAACGATAAGCAAGAACAACTAATGGATATAGTCATTGTGAGGTTGGCAGAGCGTCAAAATTACTGTCTAGGCCAATACAAAGCATGGACCGATGCAAAATGAGTTTCAAAATCAGATTTCATAGACCTATCAGTAAACATTCACTATGAGACATTTGAAAAAGAGGAGTTTGAGTTACACCATGGATAGACGCTTTAATTCAACTTAGGTTTTTTGAGTGCATTGGCCTCGACAGTGCGCAGGTCAGTTTCCTGAGTATCATCAGGTTCACTGAATCTCTGAATGAGAGAAGTTTTAGCTCTCGAGGAGGAGCATTCAGCGGGCATCTTTGATGGAGGAGAGTCTATGTTGGAATACTCTTTATAGTGCTGCATTGTATAGCGGCGTTTTCCATCTGCCAGTGGGGTCTGGACAGGCTTGATGTGAGCTATAAATATTTTTGATTTGAGCTCCTGATGTAGCTTCTCCAATGGAACCTCTATATTCTGCAGAATGTTCAAAAAGACCAAACATTGGGCACGGCTAAACTGTATCCAGATTTTGTTGCTAGATATGATAGAAAGCTGACCTGATTAAAATGTTCCATTACTTCAACAGCTGTAAATGACAAAAGCTATAAATGACAAAAGCTGTTCAGCTAAGTCACCAAAGAGCGTAGCTGTAATGGTTCCAGTGGCATCAGTTAAGTCAACATCAAGTCGACATCTGTTTGGGGAAGTTTCCAAATCAGCGATAGATATAAATAAGTTGCAAAAGATGCATCTAGAAATGGAAGTAATAAGCTACACCATGTAAAAGACCTTGGCTGTGCTTTATATTTTTTCTTGCAAGTATTACACATAAAGGTAACTCCATGATCAGCAGTTGTCGAGTGAAAGCATTTTTCACAACCCATATACCAGAAATTTTGAAAGATATTCTCAAACGAGAACAACGCTTTCACCCAAACAGCCTGAAAAATAAGAGCCAAATGAGTAAAGCAGCTGTTCAGCTGCACTGGTATCAGCAAATTGTTTGATAGAAACGAATGCATTACCCTTTGGCTCGGCGTGATATTTATTATATCGGTGATCTTCTGATCCGCTTGGAAAGAGATATCAGGGTTGTAATGGTTATATGTCTCTTGGTTAACAATATCTGTAAGCATTTTGTAATTTCTCATTGCCCTGCAAAATAAGCAACATTATGAGCAAGAAGGCAAGCTAACTGATAAAGCTTTAACAAGCAAATCACTAAAAAAATAACAGACTAACCAATTCTTCATCGCTCTGGCTTCTTGTACTGGGGGGTCAACAAGAACAGCTGAGTCAAACCAAGTCGTCAGAGCAACGCCTACAGGCAAAACAAAGATATTGTTATACATCTCATGCATCTTGCAAGCACGTACAGTTAAAAAAAGGATGCATTTCAGTCACCATTGTAATTGGATACTTTGAGCCTCCTTCCAATGATAACTGGATAGTTTCGAAGCTCAGCTATAATTCGTGCACCCTCATTTTCAATGAAAGCATCCCACATCAATAGCATGATTGGCTGCAGGCTGTTGAAAACGAAAGGCTACTGATATTTGCCAAAAGACTAAATTTTGAAGCTTGTATAGAATGTAAAATGAAGCAACAGAATTAGAAAGCCTACTCTTCATTGACAATTACAAACTTTTGGACATATGATTCTTCTGATTTTCGAACGACAAGCTTCTTCTCCAGTGCAGTAACAACGATTCCAAGAACATCTGATAATTTACAAAAAAAACACCATGGCCATGTAATGCATAGATAGCTGAAGTAAATATGCATAACAAAAAAAAATCTCACCAACAGATTTATCTTTTCGATCCATATATTGAGATAGATCTTTGAACTCTATATAGCTAAATTTGCAGGCCATGAGGTCCTCTTCTTGTGTAACCTCCTCAACAATAGTTCGAGCAGAAATAATCCATTGTGCACTTATTTCTGCAGTTTTGAATTCAGCAGGGATTCTTTTAACCTCAGTATTGGAAATGAGATAACTCTTATAAACTTCAATCCTTGGGCTCATGACAGGAATATCTGTGTTAAATATAATCCCTTCAACTTTTGATACCTTCAAAAGAAAGACATAAATGGTATTTGTGTCAATGGCACAGTTAAACAAATAAGCGAAGAGGCCACATTTGCCGATAAAGGAAAACACGATTACTACCTTTGAATCAATGAAAATAAATTTTTGTTTCTTTGTTGGCGTGTTTCTTGCTGAAGTCACCTGCTGCTTCTCTTGGACAACAATCTTTGATGTCCATTTATGCATTCCAAATGGAACATCTTTGATAGGTAGGACATTATCCATCTTAGAATGGATAGCAAAGGAAAAAGTAAGGATAAACATTAATAAAGAGTAAAGGTATAAATAGACGGAAACAAACTAAGCTTAAATTAATTATCAAAGATAGTTCATTGAAGCATGCACAATCAGCCAGACAATTCTAAAATTTCAGTAAAGACAACATTTCTTGTCTTGCAATCCAGTTTCACGTCATCAAAAGTTCCAGGCAGTATTAGAACTTTCACTACAGCAGCAGACTTGGCTCTTGACAGGGCAACGTATAACTGGCCATGCGAAAAGACTGGTTCTCGTAAGTAGATACCGACATAGTCTAAGGTTTGACCCTGAGCTTTGTTGATCGTCATTGCAAAACACAGACGAACTGGAAACTGTGTTCTTATGAAAGGGATACCATTTTTTTCAGTATCTGATGTCTGCAATGGGATCTTTGGTATGAAAATTGTTTTCCCTCTGTGCTGACCAAAGGCAATTTCGGCGCAAATGGTGTGTCGCAGCAGCTGTCGACAAATAAGTCTCGTACCATTACACAGCCCTTCAAGAGGATTTAATTTTCTGAGTAGAATCAACGGGCAGTTCTCCTTTAGCAGAAGCTTATGTGGAGGCAAGCCCTTTGGATTCTGAGAATTTAAAAAATCTTCGTAATCACTCTGATGTCGCTGATCCAAAGTCCTATCTGAGCTAGTGTAAACATGAAGCTGTCCAGGGAATCTGTTGATCAACACCTCATTGAGATCGTCAACAGAAGCATTTTTGGGGGTCAAAATGCATCTATTGATCAATTTGTAAGGATCATTCCAGCAGGCGTTCAAATCTGGAAAAACACAGTGTAGCAACCTGAGAGAGAAAGATCATTTGAACAATATGACCAAACAAGCTGCTAGACCACCAACACGGGAAAAAAATATAAGAAGTAGGAGAATGTAAAACAGAAGTAACCTGTTGAGAGACGTTTCTGCATTAACAAATGGAACCACGATATTGCTTGGAAGACATATCTGGTTGTCCTCATCCATAGGCTCCAATCCTTCACCAACTCTCAGTAAGAATTGAGAGAAAGAAGGGTCCGAGAGAGCGCGCATGTTTTCCGTCAATCTCAACCGTAGCATTTTAGACCATAGTGTCGAACTAACAAGACTGGAGCCAACTAACTGGTCTCTGGTGGCTCCTTGAATAACAGGCAAAGTCTGTCGATAATCACCACCAAATACAACAACTTTACCTCCGAAAGGCTCATTGGATTCCATTATATCTCTGAGCAATTCATCAAAAGCTTCGATGGTCTCTTTTCGTGCCATTGAAGCTTCGTCCCAAAGAAGCAGTTTACATTCAGCAATTAGCTTGCTAGTGCTGGACTGCTTACTTAGCTGGCACGTCCTATTTCTTGAACAGTCCAGTGGAATTTTGAACCTGGAATGTGCCGTTCTTCCACCAGGTAGAATGGAAGCTGCAACACCGGAAGTCGCAACAGCAATTGCAATATATCCCTGCGATCTCAAGGTAGCGAGGAGAGAACGATATAAGAATGTTTTACCGGTCCCTCCGGGGCCATCGACAAAGTATGCCTTCCCCTCTGAAGAGAAAACTGACTGGAGAATCAAATCATATGCATACCTCTGCTCTGCATTCAACTTTGAAGATATAAGTAAATCTTCCGGCGTAACTTCGATATTCCTTTCATTGTCAACCTCTTTGGTTACGCGGTCTTGACAGTTAAGGCTAAAACAATCTGAATGTAAATGATAATCAGTAATGTGTCGGCCCATCTGCTCAAGCGTCTTATTAATATCCAACAATACTTTTCTTTTGATTTCATCAGAACAATACTCATGAGAGGGATGAGATCGCAGAAAATCTCTGGACATCTCAGCTTCAAATTTTTCCCAAAGAAAGTGCGGATTGGCTGGAGAACAACACAACAAAAGAGTGGCAAAGAGAAACCTGAGGGACGAAGGCATTTGAAAGCCAGCGGCTTCTTCAAGTGTATCCTCTATGTACGAATCAGAATTTAACAAGCCAAGCTTTAATGCCGCCTCTCTAAATGAGCTCATCGTTTGGCCATCAACAGCTAATAAATCATCAAAAGACGTAGGACAACGAACATGCGATAATAGCAATCGTAGATAATATCTATCACCTTCACTCGGGCTAACGGTAACCAATCTGCCAATAACTTTTCTTCTGCTCCTCTCGGACCATGCTCTCTTTGCTGGCGCCCAGACAAAATACTGAGGAAAATCTCGATATAGGCACTTTAAGTCCTGAGCCTTTTTATTAGTCTTGTTCATTTCAAAAAATTCTGTTAACATAGTCTTTGACAAATCTATTTGGCTCAAAAGGTTTAAAAGATCAACATTTCTATCAAAAGAGACGTATTGCTGATCAGGAAGGTGCACCTGAAGAGTGTAAACAGCAGGAGTCATTTCATTTAAGCGGAAGCCATAGATACGCCACAAAGCCTCTGGAGGTGAAACCCATCTACCCTGCTGGAATTCTCGAATCTCATCAACATCATCAGAGGTATTCTGAGCTATAATGTGAAAGTTAACAAGATCATGCCCTTTGAATATATATTTGTAGAGATACTTAACTAATTTAATTGTGGAGCAGATCTCTACATTCATGTGACAGTCAAATAAAGGAAGAAGATATGGATTATAGGGTACAACCCATCTATTATCCAAATCATAACGCCTCACCTTAACCCTTTTGCCATCATTTCGTCGACGATAAGAAGGATAACAATCTTCAGCATGCGACGTTTGTGGCAGAATTCTTTTGGATAATGATTTCTGCACAGACCATCTCTCATACAAGGGCTGTGAGCATTCATTTTTCCACAAGGGCCGTGGATCATATGTTTGACCACAAGGGAATGTAAGTGAGGAAACTTAGTGGAGTCTGGCAATTCAGCACATACGATCCTATCATAAGCTTCAGGATTCAGTGGCTTAAATCTGTGTTTTAAAATCAGCAGCATATGAGCATGTGGATAACCCCGTTTTTGAAATTCGATGACATAAACACAAGCCGCAACGTCTCCAAAAATTTTTTTGTTCAAGATTTCAGCTTTTAGCAACTCAAACTTTGCTCTAAATACTCGGGAAAGTAAATCGGGTCGATCATGCGCCTTTTCTTTATACATCAGATTGTCCTGAATTTCTCTCCACATTGGATTGCATGTCATAGTTAAAAAGATACTAGGCTTACCATATCTCTGTACCAAAGACATTGCATCGAGGTACCGATGTCTCATATCTCGTGGACCACCAATAAAAGAGGCAGGCAAAAGAACTCTTCGGCCAACTCTGGAACCTGATGTTTCACCAGCTGAAACACTATCCATTATACCTTTTAATGCCTCTGTTTGGATTTCATTTTGTTTCTTTCTGTGGAAAACAAGTCTTGATGTTTCTATTTTTACATAGATGTCAACAGAGTACTGTTGCAGCAGTCTCAGTGTATGCAACAGCATGCTATCATCATTCGGCCGCATTTGTAGTTTGTAGCAGTAATATTCCCTTGCAGTGACATTGCTTTTTTGCCGCTTGCCATTCTCAACAGCTAAAAGCATGTAAAAGATACGATATGAGGCATTAGCAACGAGAAGCACAAAAGATAATAAGCTAAATAGGAGAAAACCTGCCTCTTTCTTCCGAGTCAATCAACTGCGAAGCATTGGCAAGAGATGTCGGGTCAACAATGGTTTGGTCTTTACACGTACGCGAGCTGCGTTTTTTGCTGTGCTCTTGAACTCGCTGGATACCAGGATGCCATCCACATTCCTCGCGAGGAAACAACAAAGGATACTGCAGAGAGTCATAGCAAGAGTAAAAATGCTTGATCTTATGGCTTGTATCTGAGTGACTATAGACCTGAATATGAGCGGAAGCATTTGTGGATTCATCACCATCTCCAGTCCATATCGCTGCAACCTGTGAAGCGGTTGGGAGATTATATACACGCTGATCCAGACTCACATTGCAGTTGAGAATGATCCTGTGATCATCAAGATTCGGCACGCTGCGTAGATCTTTAAAGAACTTGGCATAAGGGTTGTCTGCAAGGATACTCAGAAGCAGCCTGAGAGTAGTTTCTCTTAACTTAGGAGATCCATCAACTCTTCTGGCAAGCTCTTCATCGGTATCAAAGAAGTATAACTGAATACCAGAAGCCTTAGCATCGCGCGCCTGTAATCCTTCGAGGAAATGATAGACCTGGCCTTGGACGCGAAATGTATAAAGGCCATTTTTGTTCTTAGTTAATTCCTTGTCATACTTTGCACCCAATGATGTAAAAGCAACGTTATTGTTGTAAGTGCGAGCATTTTTCCTAAAGTGCTCACACTCCTCATCCTCTCCAGTAAACAAGCGGCGAAGGTCATAAGGCATTGACGAGCTAACAAGACTGACTCCTCCTTCGGAACAGCAGAAGTTAGGAGGCTCCATATGGAATTGCTGAGCACCACAATATTGACAGGGCGGAGCATAAGGCAGGGGCAAAACTTTTTCTGCAATCTTGTTCAGCCGAGGAAGACTTCTTTTGGTAACCCTTTTACGTTTACCTTGTAGAAAAGTGAAGCTACGGAAATTAGCGATAGCAGAAACAAATGACAAGAAAGTAAAAAGAAGCAGGCCACAAAAGAGTAGTTAGAGCACAACCGACAGCGAGGAACTTGACAAGACCAAAGGAGCCATAACTTAAATGGCAGCGGAACAAAATAAGGAAGCAGACATACCTGTATTAGCAGCTTGCGTTGGAACAGCAGGCAATCCAGAGAGAGACGAAATAGCTATTTCAGAAGCGTTTGGCGTACTTGATATAGAATCGGCTAAAGATGTTAGTCCATGAGCATCTATAGCAACTCTGTCTTGCTCGACAAAGTCACTTTGTCCAGGAGCTGGACACTGGCTGGCCGAAGCATCAGAACAGACGACTGTTCCTACGGTCGTAGAAGCTGTTTGTTGAACACCAGTTGCGCGCCTTCTCTTTAAGAGGCGAGTTTCAGATCCAGGAAAAGGAGGAGGAAGGGTTACATTCTTTTTCCGTGCAGCATTAGCTTCCCTGCGGCACCGCAAGAGATCTTCCTTCTTTTCTTGTGGCATTTCGGCATAGCGCTTGCGACGCTTGGCATTTCTATCCATTAAGCTGGCACCACTGAAGTAAAGAATTCATGCACTCCCAGACAGAAGGCATCTAGCAGCCATAAAACAGTAGAACATCGGCAAGGCAGGGACTACATGTTTTACTTTCAAGCCATATAACGGCCTTAGCAGACAAGCCATGCAATCGACTCGATAAAAATAATAGCAGCAAGAAAGAAACAGGAAGTGGCAGAAAAAGAAAGCAAGAAAACTGGGAAAGGGAAAACAGAAGTGGGTAAAAAATTCTACAAAAGATGGAATGAGCACGAAGGCTAACCAGCAACAAAAAGATTGGATGATGACGAAGATTAAGCAGCAAAGTTCACACAGTGGAGGAGCAGAGAGTGTTTGTAACCGTAGGAGTTGGAATGCACAACCTGCATGCAAGAAACAGAAGAAACGAAGTTAACGTAAATGACACATGCACTGACCTAAACAATAGCAGTTCATGCATAAAGAAATAAAAAAAAATTGTTCGACGAACAAGGACACATGCAATGAGGAAAAAATAAGTAAACAAAACCAAACACATGTAGATAAGAGGAATAGCAGCAGCTTTAAAAAACCAGCATGGAAAAGCAAGTATGGTACTAAGTCTTTTTTTTTATCAAACGATTAAATGGAAGTACGGAACTAAGTTATTGCTAAAAAAATCGAATAGGTGACGTATGCAGTTCTAGAACTGAACAGCATGGAAAAGCAAGTACGGAGCTAACAAAGTCAACGCACACAACATAACCAGGCTAGGCGCGGGCAAACATAAAGCATCTAAGCAGCAGTCACCATGGAAAAGCAGTATAGGGACAGGAACTAAGGCCACCTAAGGAAAAACGCTAATCAGTAAACATGGGAAACTAAGCGCAGATTGATAGAAGCACAGCCTGAGTAAGCGTAGAAACTGGATAGGCAGGAAGAAAGAAACATTTTAAAAAAAGAAGTGTAAAGTAGAAACAGAACGAGGACCTCTTCAAGCTAGTAGAAGCAAGGAGTATATTGATGGCGATAGTAAGAGCGCAAAATATGCAACAGAACCAGCGAAGGCTGAGGAACTGGTGCAAAATAAGACGGAGAAGAGGAACACAGGGCTAGATGTTTGCATGAAAAAGTACTAAAAAAGCTACTCTCCACCCTCGTTTATGAAAAGCCGGGCCGAAAAGGTCCATGAAAAGGCGTAAACAGTGAGCGTGCTTTTCAAATCCGAGGAACCAGTAAGAAGTGTGTTTTAATAGGAAGCTAATGATCACTTTTTCAATTTTAACAGCTCAATAAAAAGCACGATGCTTGGCAAAGTTGCTATAATAATGTATGGCCGTCCTGCATAGCTGCTGTGTATACGCGAAAGTTATTTATTATTGTTTGACAGCGATATGCTACGGTTCTAAGGTCCTATTACCGCTTTTAATAGAAAGCTAATCATTACCATCCCAATTTCAACAGCTCAATATAAAAAGCACGCTGCTTAGCAAAGATGCTATAATTAGTGTTGGGTTCCAAGGACAAAAGACAGAACAAAAAGAAAAAGGAAAAAAAATAGATGTTGAGTTCTCCCAAGAAAAAGTAAGAAGAACAAAAAAAAATTCCAATTGAAAGCAGCTCAATATAAAAAATACGCTGCTTAGCAAAGATGGTATAATCAGCGTTGGGTTCCAAGGACAAAAAAGACGTTGGATGGAGGACAACGGCAACTTTCAGAACAAAGAAAAAGGACAAAAACAAAGACTTTGGGTTCTTCCAAGAAAGAGGACAAAAGAAAGAAGAAAGAAGAACAAAAAAAAAAAAAAAGATTTCCAGCTCAGTCCACTTTGACAACTCGCACGTGAGGAAGACATGGAGGACGACCATGCTTTGGCACCCCCTTCCCAGTTTATATACATTCTTTAAACAATAGCTGAGTTCATTGCAATTTCAATATACTTCTTGGATGCATTTGTAGCTGCTTTTTCCAAAGACTTTCCACTTTCAGCTACATTAACTAAGCTATCATCCTCAGCCTTGCAAGCTCTATTTATTTCCTCTCCTCGAACCGTCGAAATTCCGAACTGTTAAAATCTAGTCCAAAAAGCTCTCCAATGGTCAAAAAAACTAACTGTTGAAATCTAGCCATTGGATCTATCAGACTTTCGAACCAAATGCTTTGTGACCAAACCATACATCTGACATCCTATTGAGCGATCGATCCAAATATTTTACCGTCCAACAAATACGTCCAAAAATGATCAATAGCTTCTCAATTTTTGCATTTAAATTTCAGATGGCTAATAGAGTGTGGTAGCTTCTGACACCTTTATCTGATGTCATTTGTTTCAATGTTCGGACAGCAACCCTTCATTATGCTCCTATGTTATGTCCAATGATAGGGATATTTCCATTATGATGCTTCAAATGCCCGATCAAGTAATTGTGCGTCCGCTCTGAGCGATAATTTTCATTCCTTTCTATTTTTCATCCTTTCTTTTCCCAAATATTTGAACATTTGTTCTAACAAAATTCTCGCTAAAAACATTAGTCCAAATCATCATTTTGATTTGTTAATCATCAAAACCAAGAATTAATTTATCTAGATCTTCAATATCCCCTTTTTTGATGATGACAAACAAAATGATGATTTTTTTATCAAATAAAATCAAATAGGCTCCCTTTTAATCTATGATATTTTAAAGATCAGAAAATAGAATTAAAAGTAAACTCGCCCTAAATACAAACCTAACATTCAAAGAAATATCATTCAATTTTCTCCCCCTTTTGATAACGTCAAAAATAAAATATGTAAACATGAAGAGAAATTATTCACGAAAAAAAGAATTGCAAGTAACACCCTCTAAAATTAAGCACATTGTATATTCTAGTTCCATAACAAAAAGGCTCCCATAAGGTAAAGCATTGGATTCCCCTTCAATCAAGGTAGTATTTTCAATCTCATGATTCCCCTTTAATTAAGGCCCTGTTTACTTTCACTATCATATCTCATCAAATATCTTTTTCTCTTAATAATCATGTAAATCAAGTAAGCACAAAGGGATAATTAATATTCAAGGAGTTATTTCCCTTCAAAAGCATACCATCAAGTACATTTAAGGGCATTTACGTAAAGGACCATTTTTAAAGTAATTTTAGCTCATACTTATTATAGTTCCTCCTATTTTGACAAATGTATTAATAAGTACCAAGGAATTCATAAAAGTAGCATCAAAACAAGAGTTAATCATCAATGAAACATATATGATACAACTTTTTGATTTTTGTGAGGCTTAGAGCTTGCTTATATATCCAATTTATCTAATTATAATTGAAGATTTGAAGTTTACTAGATAGATACCTAACTCATTTTCTTATGAGATATCAACATTCATAAATATAGCATTTATGTACATAACTGTAGAGTAACATCACAATCATTTTACTTGCACAAAATAATATGCTAATTTTAACTAAATTAGGGTAGATTGCTCTCACACTTAAATAATGACATACATTATATTTAGTGGTTAAAATATGTCAAACTTAGATAACTAGCATAGTCCATATACAAAATCATATCAATTTAACATAAAAGATTTTCATCTACATAAGCTCTTTTGAAAAAAAGAAAAAGAAAAAGAAAGCTCCCCTTTTTCTTTTGCAAGTTATGAACTAATTTAGAAAATACTGGGGGTTATCACAATCAAACATTTAGATGTCCAATCAATTCAAATCACATTTTTGCACATAGGACATGTATGCATAAAACATGTGATTTATCCTCATAAGAGTGCAAAATAGGTTACATGATATAATTTAGGACATAAATACCAGCAATTTAAAATACTTAAGATTTGAGGCAAATATAATAATTTAACTTTTGAGAACATATCTTATTATAGGCATAACTTTTCAACTACTTGGAAAGATTATTACCGCTATAGTTTTCCATCTTCATCTTTCACTATTTCATCCTATTTCAAATCTTCAAGTTCTTTGAGCTTTTGACTCTAAGTGAAATTTTGTACCATATTTCAAGATTCATTTGGATCAATTTCTTCTAGAATACCTACACGAGAAATTACTTTTGATATCCTTTTTTTATTCATAGGAGTAAGTTGTATCCTTCAATATCCAAATGATTTGCATTCCTATATTGATATTTCTTTTACATAACAATTATTTTTCATATTGATATATTGACAACAATAATTATACATAAAATCATGATTTTTAATATGAGAGAATTTTATAAAGCAAAGACCATCCTTTTTAAAAATGGTACAATTTTTGTTAACAATTGTGTTCCTTACCTTTTTCTTTTCAAAAAAAATATTGTTTCTCTTTTTGAAGAAATTTACTAAGGTCATTCATTCTTTTTTTCAAAAAATTTTGTTCTTCCTTAATTTTTTTTCATAAAATTTTGTTTTCTCATCTAACTTTCTTTTCAAATCATCCTTATTTTACATAAAAAGTTAACTCTTTTTTCTCTTGAAGTTATCATTTTCTTTCCTCAACCTTTTATTTTCTTGACAAAGTTTGAAATTTTTACTAAACAAAGCTGACAGGTGTCGAGCCTGTACAATAAATACCTACACGAAAAAAATATAATTTTTGTATATAGTGGTGAGTAGGGTCAAAACCACAGGGACTGGGGATAATTTGTTTCTTCTAAAATTTAGAATATGGGGGGATTTTTATGAAAATATGAATAATTAAACAATTCAAATAAAAAGGTCTAGCAAATAATTTACTAAAATTGAAACAATAATAAATAAACTCTAGCTAAGACATAACTTCGGAAATGGTTCACTCAATTGATCATGGATGCAATAATAATTTCATTCACTCACTGATAAACAAGTTATAACTGCCAAACAAGCGATGACAATCAATTTCTCCTTACTATATCGGTGATTAAGGTACGACCATTAATCACTTCCCTAATCAAAAAACAACCCCAGGTATAACCGTAGAGTTCAATTTCCCAATTACCTTAAGAATTAGAGAAGCCTTGTTCTAACCAAATAACATGCTACGAG